TAGGAATCTCGGAAGGACTGACAGACTGTGAGCATTATTGTGACCTTCTCTGCCACTTTACAGCTGAGACCCACCACTTCATCTCCTGGCTCATCCTCAGTTCTTCCCTTTGTAAAGCAAGGATTGGTTAATTTGGGGTGGAATTACCCAAGTAACAGGTGAATATACAGTTGGCTCCATATCTGTGGATTCTTTATCCACAGATCAACCAACTGCAGAGGAAAAATTTGTGAAGACAAAATAGTTTTAGTGAACACATACAGATTTTTTCCTTGTTAACATTCCAAAGCAATTCAGTGTAGTAACTATTTACATGGCATTACATTGTATATGGCATTATAAGCAATCTAGACACGATTAAAATCCTGCAGGTGATGTGCATAGGTTCTATGCAAATACTATGCCATTGTGTATTAAGGGATGGGACATGTTTAGAATTTGGTATGTACAGGATGCTCGGGAAGCAATCCCTCGTGGATACCCAGGGAAAACTATGCTTATCTGTCCCACACTACAGCAGTTCTGATAAGCCTGATGTTCCATATCCATCTACTTTGACCTCTGCTTTTTTGTTCTCCTTCCCTTTCTTGGATGCCACATACAGTGCCCTCACTATACACCGTGGGTGCAGTTTCCTAGGTGGACAGGTAGCATCACATTCTGCACCTGCTGTCTTGCTCATCCTGTGGCATGGTGTTCTGTGTGGCAGGACAGGCAGGTCTACCTTGTTCATCTGGACACTGTGACGTGCTCCACCATGGAGGTCTAGCACAGTGTCTGTTGATGGCCTTCAGGCCCACTCTTGACTGTTGGTTAATAGGAAATATGTGGCTTTCAGTGACACTGACCTTGAATGTGCCTCTTGACAACACATATGTGAGTACAATCCCAGGGCAGACACTGAGAGGGTCAATTGCTGAGCATTTAGTGACTATGAGAATGAATTGTGAGAATGTTCCTGTGCATATGTCAGAGTTGAATGCTGTAGAAGGAAGACAGAAGCCAGTGATTATTGCTCCCCAGCTGTACCAGATGCCCTCCTGAGCATTTTGTCCGCATCTTGACCCTTCTTTGCCATCTCAACCCCTATTTTACAAAAAAGAAAATAAGGACCAGAGAAGTTAAATGTTTGCTGCCAAAAGGTGTGAGACCCCCAGCCAGGACTACCCAGGTGCTGGAAATGGAGTAGCCTTATCCTCCCTGCAAATTAGGGGACAGAAGGAAGGCAAGAGCTTGCTCTCAGCAAGGCCCCAGCAAGGCTGCATCTGCACAGGGTGCTGGAAAGAGTGTTCCAAGCATCTTTTGGGGCAGGCCCAGGGCAGGCTCACTGATCTAAGGGGTATTGGGCAGCCTGGGTTCTAAGCAGCCCTTCTCTTCCCAGAGTATTCCAGCCCCATGCATTCTTGGACTCCGGAAGTTATCCCGTATTCTGTAGGTACCAGAAGTTTGCTTTGAAACCCCATGGTACCAACATCTGTTAGTTCTTAGGGAACAAAGACTGACAGAGGCCTGCTGGGGCTGTGGGGTGGGGAGATACTGAGTGCAGGAGTGCAAAGATTCAAAGACACAAAGGAAAACCCTAACCAGGTGCTGGCCCATGCCCCAAGGTCTGCTTTGATGTGATTTCCCATCCGTGCTCTTATAAAACATTGTGCCGTATGATCCTGGGCTCAAGGACAGTGCTGGCCACTCACCCAGGGTCCAAAGGAGCTGACTTTTGCTCCAGGGACCCAGCATGGTTGTCCCAGGCCAGCAAAGAGGCAAATTATGTGACCTGAGAAGCCACCAAGCTAGGACCCTGGGCAGGGACTCTGGGAATCTAGGGAGGTCTCTAATCAGAACTTGGAGCACAGCCTGAAGCTGACCATCCTGGAGGAGGCCCGGGACCTCGGGGCCACAATAACAGCTGAGTAGAAAGAGAAGTAATGTAGGTTGTTCACTGCACATCAGTCCTTATACTCAGGTTCTTTTTAAGTGCAGTGGTAAAGGATGCAAGCTCTAGTACTGGCACACACTAGCTGTGTGACCTTGGGCAGGTCTCTTAACCTCTCTGTTCCTCAGTTTTCTCATCTAGAAGTGGGCATAATGACAGTGACTAAGTGACAAAGTGATTACTCTAAGAATTAAATACTAAGCACTAAAAACAGGGCACTGAAGAGGCTGAGAGTGAGTTGTTAGGTGTCTGTCTGCAAGGGCAGTCTGTCCACTTGGCCCAGACATGATCTGTAGCCATTTGATAATGAACAGGAACCACTGAGCTGCTGAGCACGCATGGGGCGAGGTGCAGGTTGAGTGTGTGCCATACAGTGGCTCCCTAATCCTGATAGCCACCCTGCAGTGGCAGCTCTTGGCCCTGTCTGCAAATGCGGGGCTGCGGTGTCCTGGAGGTGAAGTCTCTCCTCAGGTGACGTGCTTGGAGAGTATTTGAATGGAAGTCTGCCTGACTGGTTCCCTGGGCCCTGTGAGCTCCTTATTCTGCAATTCTGTGTGCCCAGCCCCAGAGCACCTGCTGTCCTGCAGGGTGATGCTGAGGGCCTGCCACCTGACGGAGCCTGCAGGCTGCCAGTGAGAACCAGGTGCCTAAACCACATGGAGGGGGTGGGGGGTGGGTTCTGAGTCTAAAGGACAGATGTGTATTTAGCCTTTGACTTATGGTTGCTGCTCAGGAAATAACCACATGTTGAGCTCAGACCTGTTTTACACTTGGATCAAGTGACCCAAACTGTGAGGATCACAGACTCAGGGCCATTCACCTCAGTGTAGATGACTTTGGTATACTTGAGTGTGTATGGCTGTCAGCCCTGGCACCAGCAAGTACTCACGGCCTATGACAGAGCAGGGTACAGATAGCAGTAAGAAGCTAACCCTAGGTTTTTCCAGAGCCATCATTACAGTGATGATGGTGGATGTGTGGCACACATGTAGGTAGCAGTGTAAGGACCTATTGGCTTTTTAAAATTTTAAGACAGGGTCTCTTTATGTAGTCCGGGCAGTACCTGAACTCACTATGTGGCCCAGACTGGGCTTGAACACAAGGCAGTCTTCCTGCCTCTGCCTCTGGGATCACAGACAGGTGTGTGCCACCAGGCCTAGCCCATTGGCTGTCATGTTGGGGTGACATTTGGAGTTTTAAAATCCCAAATGTGCCCATAAAAAGACTCAGGACTCAAGAGACCTGGGGTATTAGTGGCCTTGCCGAATGCACTCAGGGTAGTGCCAAGGTCAGTGCTGCCCTCTGGGCAGAGGCCCTCACCACAAAGGGTTTGTGTGCTCCCAAAGACAGTGGCTGCTCCTCCAGGAAGCGTGCCCACCAGCCTCTCAAGGGAACATACAGCCGCCTTCTGCTTTTCTGTCATGAAAGGCTGGCTTTAATTGGCTGCTGGGGCGTATCTGCCATCTGAGGATGCCACCTGTGTGTCTCTTTCCTGTCAGAGTCTCCCAGCTCCCCTGTCAACTCTGACTCTGTTAACACAAACAGCCAGTTTACAAGCCCAGGAAATGTTCAGTGATTAGAAAAATTGGTGGAGGAGAGAGAAGCCTGTTTTGAAATAAATGGGACACCAGGAGCTGGATGGACACATTTTACATATATCTAACGGACGGTGATGCTCTAGAGGACGGGAAAGAAGAAAGAATAGCAGAGACCAGTCCTCGTTTGCAGAACATGAATTGTTGGTCTTTAAAACAGAAAAGGAGGAAGCAAGCAGCTTTCTTCCAGCTGTGGCCAGCAGTGCCATCAGCTGTGCACCACACTGTCTCTCTGTGGTCATCAAGACAGGCCTGGTTTTTCTTTGAGCATCTGAGTGGCAGGGATTTTTTCCTTCAAGGAGAAGCTGTTTTCTTTTTCTTTTTTCTTTTCACAAAGAGAAGATGGTGACAGCTGCTGTATTTGGACTTTCTATTGCCTGTCATCTTGGGTGCTCTGGAAGCACCATGCTACGATAAGATGAGGAATGAGGTGGTATAATCCCCCAAGCCTTATCTATCTCCAAAAGAGCAGTATTTACTAAAGTGGCTTCCTTAGAACATGACTCTCACATGATGCTTTTGGAAAAAGAAAACCCCATGGTCTACTAGGTTTGGAGAAGATAACAAACACCTGCACATGGAGATTCAGTGTTTAGAACCATTGCAAAGGCCCTGAGAAGTCCTACAGTGAGGCACTTTAACTTTTGTCTAAAGGAATCTTCTTTGATCACAGAGGTGTTCTTGGAAGAAACCAGTAAACACAGAAGCTAATCTGACAGGCCATAGGTAGGAGTGGGTCAGATGGATGTGACCTTAGTCTTGACATCTCCCATATTTCCCAGTCTTTGGAGCACTGAGGTGCCCCTGGCCAATCTGATGACACCAAAGTGCATCTTTCCAGCTGGCCAAGAGGAACCCTGCAGTGCCAGTGTGACATGGGACATCTTCAGCTCACTGGTGGGAGCAAGCAAGGCTTGCAAGGGGCGAGGCTTAGTAACTGGAAAATATATGGGCCAGCAGGACAAGAAGTAGGAGGGTAGACCAGCCCCAACCAGAGTCTACAGGGACTGGGATGCTTGTAGAGGCTTTAGGGTCTGGCAGAAGGCATTGGGGCTACTGTACAACAAATCAGGACCCATGGGCTTCTTGCAGCCCTTCCAGGCAATGTGCCAGGTCCTTGGTAGAGGAAGAATGATCCAGACTAAGGGGTCTTCTTGGGGAGGCTTGCTGGTCTTGTGCAATTAGGTTGGCTCAGTGAGATAGATCTTGTCTGAAACTTCTGAAGTTGGGAGAAGCTTCCTTTCAGAGGGAGAAGCGTGGCTCTGGGTGGAATTTTAGGGCAGACTACAGTCTTAAAAAATGCTACTTCCTGGAAATCATCCATAGTAAACCAATCCTGTGCACAGGGTCCCACCTCACTGATCTGGTTCCCATCAGAAGACTCAGAAAAGGCCCCCACCATCAACTGTCATATTTGGGTGAGCTCCTGCCTGTTCCCACTGTTCTGTAATGACCCTGCTTTGTTTTCCTAGGAGCTCGTGGGCGAGGTTTTCAGAGAAGAGCCAAGTGAGGAGGAAGAGGACTTCCGGCTAGAAGGTACTTGGGATCCTTGGCTCCATTTCCCATTCACTGGGGGCGGGGAGGGCATCTGGCTGCCTGTGTGCACTGCAGTCCCCAGGAGGTCTGCGACCCTCACAGTGTGGCAGGTGGTGGAGGAGGAGGGAATGTGGCTTTTCTCAGGGTCAACTTAGCCTGTCCGTGGTGGGACATTGGAGTCAGAGGCAGCTTCCTCCAGGGTTAAAACAGTAACATAATGGCTGTTTCCCCAGGTTCCCGGGTTTATCATCCCTGGTGCCGATGCATGCATATACATGTACACATCTATGTATGCACCCCTGCTCCCAGCCAGCCTCAGTCTCTTTGCACAGGGAGCTTCTGCCTGTCCTGTGGAGCCCTGGCCACTGGGGTGCTGATGTGACTTTAGGCACACCACTGCTCCTTCCAGGCCTCAGTCTCCACTTAGTAGAATAGGAATGAGGTCTGTGTGGCCCCAAGTTTGGCTCAGGTATGTTTGTGGAGAGCATTGGCACCTGTTCTGTGTGGTGTCACAGAATAGAAGCAGTCATGGGCAACCTGGGAGGGTCACGGGAGGCAGCTGGCTACAGAGCTGGGGACTAGCCTGGGGCCAGGGTGCAGGGGTCCCTAAGGCATCTGGCTGTGGGCCTTCAGCAGAGAGGCCTGGATGCTGTCTAAGGGCACCTGGGCTATCTGAGGGCTGTGGCCACATCAACCCTGAGGGTTGACATACACTCTCTGTGGCTCTGCCCTAGGGTTACTGAATACTCAGTGTGTTGGAATAAGTGCCCAGGTGACTGCATGTAAGTCACATCTGAAGGTGTTTTGTCATAAAAGATCCACTTAGCTGCCCAGAAGCTGGAGGGATGGTAGGGACCCAGGTGCCACTGAATGTGCCTGCCTGTGGCCCTGGCCCCTTGTACTCAGAGGTGTGATGGCTTTGAACCCCATCGTTCCTTGGGCTCCAAGGCCTTCGATGTCATCCTCCTCTCTCCATGGAGACATGCTGGGAATTAGCATGCTGTAGGATTTCGGCCATGAGGATTAAAGTGACCCCAGACTCTGATTACAGGGCCTTCAGCACCCATTCCATTTATCTACTCATTTTCTCATTCTAAGATGCCAACCTTGTTCTCTTGTCTTCTATGTGTATCTGATGCCTACTCACTATTAATGCATCCATCTCCTAATCCAAGGCCCACTCAGCCAACACTTGCATCCATCCATCCTCTTGCTCTGCCCATTTCCCCTCATCCTTCTATTCATTGCCCATTCTTTTGTCTCCTTTTTTGTCATGTATCTCTCAGCCAGCTTGACCTCATATATCACCCAGCACCCTCAGCCCATTCTCCACCTCTGTCCTTCCTGTGTCTATTCATCATCTACCGATTCATCCCCTTCCCCTCCATCCACTTAATAAGCTTCCACTTACCCTTCTAGGACAGTGAGGGTGAACTTTTTAGAGACCTAGTGCCCAAACCTGCAACCCAAAACCAAGTTATTTATCACAAAGCGCTAACACTGTGATGAAACCTGGATATTGAGTTCTGAATACTGTTTTACTTTAGAAACAACCACCATTATCAGGTGCTTGGCTGCTGGGGTGACTTGGCTTGGGTGCTGACGGAGAGGCAGTGCCTGTGGTTCACCTCCACTGTTCTAGGATCCCTCCATTTGTCTTTCTGTCTGTTCAGTATTTGTTGGGTCCCTAGATAGAACCAAAACCGGTACTGAGGGGATGTCTCCCTCTTGTAGGAGGGACTGACTCAGGGGCAGCATTTACAAATACTGGCTAGTGGGTGGGGGTAAATGCAAGGTGCTCGAGTGTCCCAGCTGCTCTTAGCCATGTGTGTGAAGTTGGTAGCTCTTGGCCTGACTCAGAGGTCCATCAGCTGCATGTGGGCCTTTATTGGCAACCTAAATGCCTTACTGGCTACTGTTGGTGTCCAGGCATGGTAGTGCCATTACCCATGAAGGGGTTGTGTGTCACCAACCTGCCTCAGTTGCCTGATTAGAGTTTAGGCTACGTTATTGGTGGTCAAACTTTTTAGTCTCTCTTCAAACAAAAGATTGCACAGGCGCACAAAATGTAAAATAGTTAAAACAGATTTCAGGGAGATGCATACAGCATGAAGTCATTATGTAAAACCAAAGGCCCCAGAAAATCCTGGATTTTTAATACACGTATGTGTATTAATCTATGGACAGCAGCCAAGAAGACAATAACAGTAGCTACTTGTGGTCACAGGAGGGAACTAAAATCTGAAAGGGTGGTTAAAGCAGGCTATAGTATCACTGTAGTGAATGTTTCAACTTTTATGAGAATGTAGCCCGGTGTCCATGAAATGAAAGACTAATGACAGGATTTAAATGTGGAGACAAAGCAGTAACAATGAGGCTGCTCTGGTTTGAGCAGGTGGGCACCTGGACCTGTCCAGCCACTTGGTCCCTGAGACTTTGGATGGACCATAGTCCCAGGGGTTGCCCATGGTTCTCTGCCTCCTTTAGTGCGGTGGCCCGAGGTCATCCATGCTGCGACCAGGATGTAGTGAATGTCATGGCACTGCACAGCTGGGGCTAGTGTGGCTGTGGGTGTCCCTCGGTGCTGTTGGCCAACGGAGAACAAGCTAAGTCCTGAATGTCTTCTTTGTCTTCCTGTTGGCCAAGTTCATTGCCTCTTGGCGGGCTGGAGAGCAGTTTAAAGAGAGAAAAAAGGCCATCTGAGGCACAGAGATAAAAAGAAATCTTTTAACCACCCTAGGAGAGGGTGGCTCTAGCTCCTGCGTTGTTATGGAAAGCCGGCCCTAATCCATATCCATCCATCTCCCTTCCCCCAGCTGCCTTAACTGGCCAGCTGGGAGCTCCAGCCAGCAAGGGGAGATTAAAGCAGGCTTGGTACAGGGTTGGAGCTGTGAGTGCCTTTTGAACTCAGGGAAGAACAAAGTAAACATCAAAATTTCCAAACTCTGAGAGCTGCAGGGTGTGGCAGGGTGGGGAGGCAAGGCTCGCATAGGCTAAAGGGAGTGAGATGCTCCTGCTGACCCAGCGGTCTGGGACAGGAGCAGGGTCACCCGCCACTCACCTTCAGCACCTACCTGGCTTCACGCCTTCATTCTGGACAAGATGCCAGGTGGTGGCAGCTCATGGCTTGTACCTAAGGTGGGAGCTAGTGCTAGCCTGCTTGGCAGACCATGTGACCTACATGGTCTCCAGGAGTTGCTGTCCAAGGGTTGACATCCTCCTGCACATCATAGACCCTTCCTGACTGACCTGCAGGGAGAGAAAGACCTATACGTGCTCGTTTCCCCTTCTGCCTCGCTGTCTCTTGGCACTTTCTATAGAATGCTGGCTCTCAGAACCTTGCCACCTTGCTGGCCCCCTCACAGCTGAGGCTGTCAGGGCCACTGGGGTCAGATGGCCTCCCTTCCTGCTGGCCTTGTCATCCCATCCCCGTGGGCAGCTATATGAGAACCTTTGCTTCTGTAGCCTGGGGGAAGAGGTCCTGGAGACATGAGTTGTGCCAAGCCAGACAGCACTGTTGGCGGTGGGATGCAGGGGGCCACACAGCCTTCTGTGAGCTTGAGTCTTTTCCGCTCTCTGGGGACCCTGGACTGGACGTTGCCTTCGTGACAGTCCAGGGACAGTCCAGGGAAGGTGACTTGTCCCCCTCATCCTGACTCTTTGGGGACCTGCTTACTGTGTGCCCTCAAGCAAGTCACTTTCCTCCTCTGTGCTTCACTTTCCTCATAGGATTCCTCGAGCGCTCCTTCATCAGGTGTGCTCGGTTCAGAGGAAGCCTCCAGTAGATGTGGGCTGTGGGGAATTCTTGTTTCATGGGTGCTGCTTGCTTGCAGCTGGAGCACCCTTGTTCAGAGCCGTTTGCCCACCCAGCTCAAGCAGGCCAGTCTTTACAGCTTCTTTGGTCCTATTAGAAATCAGAAAAGGCTTCTTCCTTGTGCTCCCAGGATATGCTATAGGTCTGGGCCAGGCTAAGTGTTCAATACATGCTAAAGTATACAAGTTGGCATCAGGAAGTCACCAGAGAGTCAGGTGGCTCTCTCCCTTTGGCCACTCAGACAGGTCCTGTGTATGCACCTGAGTACCCAGGTCAGCCCATCCAGCCTTGAAGGCAGAAGCTGCGTAACTATTGACAGAGCAGAGGAGCCCTTGAGAGGCCTTTAGTCCATTTCATTTATACTTGGAAAATTGAATCTCAGAGAGAAGTGACCTGTCCAAGGTCTCACAGCAGACTGAGAGCAGAATCCAGACCTCCATACCCTCCTCACTTCATGTTTACTGAGCATGTGCTATAATTTGGTGCTCTGCTAAGCTCTGGGTTCACAGCCATGAACAAAATGGGCCCTGTTATGAGGGCTTTCACAGGAGGGAAGTGGTGAATAAATAACCAGGCAATGGTGCTGCTTGGCTCAGAGGTAAAGCCCAGGAAGGGCAGACAGAATGTGAGAAGGCCTCTGAGAAGGTATTGTTTCAGCTGAAATGCAGATGCCAGGAAGAAGCCAGCCATGGGAGGACGTAGAAGGAGAACAGCCAGGAGGAATGAGCAGTGTCCCAAGGTGGAAGGAACTTGATGTTTGGAGAGGGACAGAAAGGAGGCCAGTTGCTGTTCGGTTGGAGAGTTAAGTACAGGGTTTCCTGGCTCTGCTTCCATTTTAAGAGCTAATTGTGGCTTCCAGGAAGGTGGACAGGGTGAAGGGAGAAGGAGAATGAAAGCAGGAAATCGTGGTGGCACTGGCCTAGAGGGTGGAGGGGTCCCAGTGGGGGCTGGGAGGTGGAAGAGGAAGGTAGGGTCAAGGGTGCAGAAACTCAGAAACTAAGGAAATGTTGGTGTCACTTCTGAGGGGAGTTCTGCCAGGTGCTTCCAGGCCCTCTCCCTTTGGCCATGCTGGCTCCAGACTCTTGTTGGACATCTGGGTCGAGATACCCAAGTGGCTCTGGATACCTGGCAGGTCAAGGATGGAGGCCAAGGGACAGCAGGCTGGTGGAAGGAGGGAGTGTCCTCT